ATGCGGTCTGAATCCTGACTGGAATTTTTCATAGATATCATTTTCTTGCAAAAAAGAGCACAATTGAGCGGACACTACTTTTTCAAGTATTTTGGACATAAATGGAAGATTTGAAATGGGTCTGTAATTTGCCAAGTTATTTGGATCTAATTGCGGTTTCTTAATGAGCGGTTTTATTACAGCCAGCTTGTATATTTTTGGGACATGACCTAAAGATAAAGACGAGTTAATAATATTGAGGAGAGGCTCTTCCACTACAGGTAATAGTTCTTTCAGTAGTTTAGTGGGTATTGGGTCTAATAAACAAGTTGTTGGTTTAGATGCAATGATAAGTTTATTTAGCTCCTCCTGTCCTATCGTTGTAAAGCGGTTTAGTTGTTCTAGAGGGTCCATAATTGAAGCTGAATCATAAGACACCATAGCGGATTGTACATTTATAATTTTGTTTCGGATGCTTTCTATTTTCGCATTGAAGTAATTCATAAAATCATTACTACTAAACTGTAAAGGTATATTTTGCTCTGGTGATGTCTGTTTATTTGTTAGTCTAGCCACGGTGTTAAATAAAAACCTTGGATTATTTTGGTTATTTTCGATTAGTTTGCGGAGATGCTCAGCCCTGGCTGTTTTTAGTGTCTTTTTATAACGTGACATACTGTCTTTCCACGCGATTCTAAAGACCTCTAAATTAGTTTGTTTCCATTTACGCTCTAAGTTGCGAGTTTCTCTCTTGATAGCATGCGTAGCACTGTTGTACCATGGTGCTTTAATTTTCTCTCGAACCTTTTTTAATCTAATTGGCGCAACAATATCTAATGTACTAGTAAGAATGGTGCTTAAACTGCTAGTCATTTCCTCTAATTCATCTGTTTGTTTGGGTTCACTTTGCAGCTTAGATAGATCAGATAAGCTATTTGAAAATCCATCTATAGTGGTTGGAAGGATTGTTCTGCCTGGTCTATAACGTGGCGCAACATGACATATTTCAGCAGTACGTATTATGCAAGTCACCATGTAATGATCAGTGACATCATCGCTTTGCGGTATAATATCTATATCAGTTGGATCGGTTCCATATGATATAATTAAATCTAGTGTATGATTTAGACGATGAGTGGGACCACTGACGTTTTGTTTGACCCCAAAGGAGTTTAATAAATCTGTAAACGCAGCCCCTAACGCATCATTTGTATTATCTACGTGTATGTTAAAATCTCCAGCAATTATTGCTTTATCGACATTTACCAATAGATCCGAGAGAAAGTCTGCGAACTCTTTTAGGAATTCAGCATATGGCCCTGGAGGTCTATATACAGTAGCCAGGGCTAGAGATAATATAGATTTCCTTCTTACATCTAAGAGCGTAACATTTAGCACAAGTACTTCAAATGAATTAAACCTGTGACCTGTTTTCTGAGTAATATTAAAAATATCTTTATAGATTGTTGCAACACCGCCGCCACGACCGATCAGACGAGGCTCATGTTTATAACAGTATCCTGGCGGAGTAGATTCGTTTAGACCGAAATACTCATTTGGTTTAACCCAGGTTTCAGTAAGGCACAGAACATCGAAGTTATTGTCTGTGACCATTTCATTTACAATAACCGCCTTAGGTGTGAGCGATCTAATGTTTAGGAGACCTAGCTTTAGAAATTGTTTTTGTTGACTGATATTTAGATTTTCTGGTTTAATTACAATAAGATTTTTGCTAGATCCTACACTAGATTTATTGTTTGGCTTCACTAAACGAGGAATAGACACAGTTTCTATATAATGTTCCACACTATGCTTATTAGTTAAGTTTGGACCGCAAAGGCTGTAATTTAAACTTTGACTCATTAGTCATCTGGTGCGTAATGTCTTGGAAATGTTGTCCGACAGCACAGCCGCTCCGATTCGGCTGGGATGGAGACCATCTGTGCTGTACAGCCTCGGTCTTTCCCAAAACAGATGCCAGTTATTTACAAAGTGCAGCCTCTGTTCATTACACAATGACATTAACCATTCATTTAATGCAAAAAGTCTACTGAACCTTTCCTGTCCTTGTCTGTACGTGCAAGCGGTCCAGACACGATGATCGCTGCTTTAGGCGCTGTGCTGCGTACCGTCTCGATCAGGCTCCTGTAGTCCTTCTTCAGAACCTCCGTCTGCCGCAGCCTAATGTCGTTCGCTCCCGCGTGCAGCACAACAGCTCCGACGCGCTCGTCCCCGTTCAGGATCTCGGGAACCTGTGCAGCAACATCAAGAACACGAGCACCAGGAAAGCAGTGAGTGCGCACTTTACCTTTATCCGAATTAGCGCGGACATGGCGGACTATGGATGTGCCGATGATCACGGCGTCATCGCGTTCCGGCTCGCGAAGAGGGGAGAAGCGGTTCCGGGTGGAGATCTCGAAGACCGGGAGGGGCGGAGAGGCAGCTCTGGTCCTGGCTCGTGTCTTCCGCTGTGTGATCCATGGTCCATGTTGTTTCGGTGCCGGAGTGAATAAAGCCTGAGATGGTCGCATCTTCCTCGGCAGAGTAACGTACGGCGTAGATGAACTCGGAGTCAAAGAGTGATTTGATTTGTTAGCGTCGGCGCGTGATGCTTCAAGCGTTGAGCGCCGATCCAACAGCTCGGCTTGCTTCACCAGCAGACCGCGGATCTGTTTCTCGACGTATTCCAGCTCCTGCTTCACCGTGAAGAGCTCGAATGTGTCTTCACCTGCACTCAAAGGTAATGTTAGACACGCATCTGATATGTTCGCCATTATAACGGATGATCAGTAAATTAGTAGTGATACTACAACTATCACTACTAATTTAGGATTGAAATAACCAGGATTCAGTGAAACGGGTGTAAAATGAGACGATCAATAGGCGAGAGGGCACGCGTGGAATGCTAGCGGGCTAAAGGCTAGTAGCCAGGATTAGGGAGGTTGGATATAAGTAGCGATATCAAAGCAATCCAATTGTTTTTTATAAGGAATACTATCGAGGATAAGTTCACATAATATAAAAATAGAAAGTGCTTGTTTATAAATAAGTGGTAAAGAAGAAAATCAAGGATTTGTGAAGAAATTCTCCGGAGCTACAAACACAAACAACCGATCGCTCGCGCACGCGCCTTGTGGAGTGAATTTTCCCTTAATATAAAATGTTTTTCTTTTCATCAGAGGATCTCTTTTCTCGGCATGGAGATAGACTCGGTCGCCATGTCCGCGCAGCTCACGAGCGAGCGCGCGCACTCACTGCTGACTTGTCTTCGACAGTTCGAGGGCAAGAGTGCGGTTCCACTGAAACTGTTTCAGAGGCTCCTCCTCTGGGGCATATGGCATCCGCAGCCGCGGCAACGCTGCTCGGTTTGCTTCATATGAGACCGCTTCAGCTGTGGCTTCGCGATTGAGTCCCGAGGTGGGCATGGCATCGCGGCTCGCTCCGAGTTCCAGTGACTCCAGCGTGCCGCCGAACCTTCTTCCCCTGGTCGAACCTCAGCTTTTTACGGACCGGTGTCCCTCTTCAGCGAGTTTCCAGGCATCTCGTTGTCTCCACGGATGCATCTACCACGGGTTGGGGTGCCATCTGCAATGGGCATGCAGCCGCGGGTTCCTGGACAGGACCCCAGCGCCTCATGCACATCAATTGCCTCGAGCTGCTGGCAGTACGCCTGGCTCTGCACCACTTTCGAGCGTTGCTCAGGGGTCAACATGTACTTGTCCGTTCAGACAACACCGCTGCAGTAGCGTACATCAACCACCAGGGTGGTCTACGCTCACGCCGGTTGTCGCAGCTCGCCCGCCACCTCCTGATATGGAGTCAGAAGCACCTGAGGTCCCTTCGTGCAGAGTACATTCCAGGAGACCGGAACCTGGCGGCCGACGAGCGGTCACGGGTCCGCCCTATCTCCGGCGAGTTCTTTTATATAATAATCACTGGTTGACAACAGCAGTTCTCCCATTTCTGTGTTTAGTAAAGCAAGTTCTTCGTTGCAGGAAAAAGCAAGTCATTTCTTCTTTGCAATATGCAGCAATGATCTAACTTTGATTATCTGAGTATAATCCAATTAAATAATTTTCCTTATCATAAAATCAGCTTTCAATCTTTCTCCTAAATTTGCATGCAGTGCTAAAATTAGTCTTGCATGGTGAATAAACTTTTCCTCACCCATTTTCAATAATTCCACTACTACAGTTCTGAGATTGCTGTAAATTATTTATGACTGTTGAAACTTGGTCACCCAATCCTGTTCACTTTTAGCACACTGCAAGTTATTTTTCTTAGCACAAACTTAATCTACAATAGAATACTTTTTCTCAATTTGTCTTAAGGGATAATGAGATACAAATTTTAGATGTCTTCAGATTTAAGATATAATATATTAAGCACATGCATTTATATTTATCTTTATCAATTAATATATATCATTGTAATTATTAATTAAATATTTGTTTTATAACTTTAACTTATTTCATACTAGGCGCGCGGGAAGCTGTTTCAGGCGAGGGGGGCTGAGGGCTGGGTTGAAAATATGACGTCATTATGACAAAAAAACATGAAATTTCTCTCTACAGTATACGTTACGTGTTGTAGCCAATAAAGTAAATATATTTAGTATCATATTTGTTTAAATATTATAGACTAATATTTTTTTTATTTAATCAATGTTGATTATGAAAGTAAGCATCCAGCATGAGAAAGATGCATCATGAGAGACATGATTTTAACCACTCACTTCATTGTGTTTTGTTTTGTAGAAAGACTCTTTTTAAAAGATTTTCGTTTAATATAAATATCTTAATTTTGATCAATGTGTTATCAACCAATTGCCTGTATTTAATAAATATGAAGTAATCTAGCAGAGTAATAAGGCGCTGGCACAATCACTTGCATTGCACGTGAACTTGGGGGCGCCGAAACTCAGCTTGTGCCTACGCTGTCCATTGATCACGCTTCATCAATAATCAATCACGTAAAATGAGAGGCCTGTAATGTTAGGATGTCATGTATAAATGAGGGAATGGAAGCGTTGCTCTCTTCTTAGTTCTTTATTAACAACAACTGCCACTTCTGGCACCATGAACTGCAATGTGTTGACCACATACCGTATATCTCCTATTAACTACGCTTGCCAGAAACGGGTATACGTTGCTGTATTGATTACCGTATATAGCCTAACAGATCCTCATGCTATCACTACATCTTCCCTTTTCAAATATTATTCTGTAATAACATAACATGTGAGAATGTCACAACAATAACACACCAATAAGATAAACAAACATCTTTCAGTGTCTTCTTTCTTATGATTTTAAACATCTTATTCAACAATTGTTTAGAACTTAGATCTTCTTTTGAATCACAAAAGACTATCTAGGGATTCCGGGTAGACTACCGGTCACCCACATAGAAGCCGAGGATTATTCTGCCTCACATGGCAATCTATGTACTAACTATGAAATCTTTCAAGTGTCCAGGCTGTTTAACAACTCTTCCTTTACGCGTAACAACCTTTTTAGGCTGTTCTGGAATTTCTTGTCCTGCGTTCTGATCTTGATCACTTGGACACTGTTCAGCTTGCGCCAATTGCTCATCCACACTTTTCTCTTCATTTGAATCACGTTGGCATGCAGACGGATTGAAAACTCGTAGATGCTTTCTGTTTCTTCTCAAGTCTCCATTCTCTGTGCGAATTATGTACGATCTTGGCGTCGTGTGTTTACCTACAACCGTAGCAGTCTTGTTCCAGCCTTTCTCATTATCCGTTTTGACTGTAACAGGATCTCCAGGTTTGAGTTCAGGCAACGGTCGAACACCATGACGTCTGTCATAATAAAGCTTGTAATTAGCTTTCGCCATCTTGTCAGTTTCTTTCACCCTTGAAAAATCAGGCCACTTAGGCTTCAGTTTCTTTTCCAGCACAGGAACCGGTGTTCTCAACTGACGCCCAAGCATCAATTGCGCAGGGCTGTATCCTGTGACTTGTATGGGAGTAACTCTGTAAGCTAGAAGAGCTAGAAAAGGATCTTCCTGCCTGAGAATGTGCTTTGCGGTTCTCACTGCTCTTTCAGCCTCACCATTTGACTGTGGAAAGTGCGGACTCGTGGTGATGTGGTGAAACTTGTAAGCTGTTGTGAAATCCTGAAACTGTTGACCAACGAATTGTGGACCATTGTCAGTAATTAGGGTATCAGGACAACCCCATCTGGCAAACATGTTGCTCAAGCGTAATACCACAGTCTTTCCTGACATATCTGGAAGATAGGCAATGTCAATGAATCTAGAAAAATAGTCAACCACTACAAGGTAGTGTTTTTTGTTAACTTCACAGATGTCAGCTGCAATTCTCACCCAAGGTGCGTCTGGTAATGTGGTGTTCATCAGAGGTTCTCTACTGCAAAAAATCGACATACAAAAATAAGAAAAAAAAAATTAAATTAACCACTTAACTGTCACCGTCCCACAGGTGGGACGTTTGCCACTATATTTTTAAAACAATAATATCTTAGTAAATACCTTAAATAATATTGACAAACTATATATCATTTGAAAGCTTACAATCTCTAGTTTCCATATTTGGTGACTGATTTTCAAAATATATTACAGAGGAGCCATAATTTATCAATATAAAACAAGAATATTTTCATACTCATAAGGCGTGTTCAGACCTTTATTTAAAAATAGCAGTAAACATGAAAAATCATGAAAAAATGGTAGATACCTCAGTTTGTTTTCATGCCAAAAGTTCAAAAGATAGAATCCATTCAATTATTTTGGAAAAAAAGGTCTGAAAAGTTTGAAATATCAAGAAAAAAATAATAAATTCACCATTTGTGACGTGGCAGCTATAGCTATGACTTACATGCGTGTTCTTTGTATGTGTTTCTTAGAGGTTCAATTCATATCAAAATCTGCCAAACTTCCCATACTACTTCTGAATAGGATCTCTACTTCAGAAATTGTATGAAAATTGTGAAAATAATGGTTCATATCACTCAAAACAGGAATGGAAATGCAGACGCCCTTATATGGGCAGTAATGGAGTCTGATTGTGCCCTAGTGAAAAAGTTTGGTACTGCGCTCAAACAAAATCTTATTGAAAGCTCATTTTTTGAGATATCAACCTAAAATTTGAAACACAACTTGTTCAGATTTTTGGCTTTGATCTTTCTGCCGTTTTAGAGTAGCCCAGGTTTTGAAAATATATATTTTATGTAAAATATGAATAATTAATATTTTTACATTGTACATTTCCATAAACTTAAACTTCTATAACTTTTTTTCTGTTTCACTTTCTTAATTTATTTCACTTCTACAAAAATCTGCCAAATGTCTTCTTTAAAACAAGACCAATCATATGTCTATATTCCAAAGCATTCTTGAATTACAACCATTTAAGTTCGAAATGAGCATTTTCATGTCTATTCAAAAAAGGGGGGGTGACAGTTAACAGGTTAAGAAAAAAAAACTAAAAACAAGCAAAATTATCTGCCAATGGGGTGAGAAAATTTTACTTGATAAGACTTCTTGAAACAAGACAAATAAACTTGTGATAAAAAAAGTTCTTAAAATCTTAAAACAAGAAAAAAATGAAGTAAATTTAGATATGTTAACTTGATTCAAGCAGTAAAAATATCTTGAAACCAATGCAAAAATAGTAAAATCTAGTATTTTTTTCTTGTTTTGTTTGTGGTTAGTTGGAAATACTCTTGGTGAAAATATCTTGATATAAGAATATATATATACACATTTTAAGGGTTTCAGGCTTATTTTGAGAGAAAGGTTTGTTTTAAATTATCTTGATTTAAGAATACACATTTTAAGGGTTTCAGGCTTATTTTGAGAGAAAAGTTAGGTTTAAATTATCTTAATATAAGAATATATACACATTGTAATGGTTTCGAACTTATTTTTAGGGACAGGTTTGGTTTAAAATATCTTGATATAAGAATATATATACACATTTTAAGGGTTTCAGACTTATTTTGAGAGAAAAGTTTGGTTTAAATGATCTTGATATAAGAATATATATACACATTTTAAGGGTTTCGGGCTTATTTTTAGGGAAAGGTTTGGTTTAAAATATCTTGATTTAAGAATATATATATACATTATAAGAGTGTCAGGCTTATTTTAAATGAAAGGTTTGGTTTAAAATAAGTATTTAAAGTATTAAAATAAGTAACTAAGAACTAACATGGATGTCTCAATCGTGACTATTTCTAAAAATAAGCTCTGAAACGGAGATACATTTAATAAATCCGGTACAACAAACATGCTCTTAATATTGCTTTATTAACTCCAAATGCAAAAGGAAAGCAAACGATTGTTACAAAAATTACAGCAATGCATCACATCACAGCAGTTGGTAAGCATATTAAAACAAAGCTGTAAAATTCAATTAGTAAACTTGAAAAAAGCATGCAAACCAATTGCCTTGAAAAAAACTGAGTAAAGTGAAATAGGAATGTGCATGTCTAGTAGTGTACACTTACATGAGAGCTCCAGTAACTTAAAACTAATTTCATTTAGTTTAGATGTACTCATTTATGCTAGTTGAGTTTACTTTACTTCAAATGCAATCCAGTTTACTTGTTAAAACCACGCAAACTGATTGCCTTAAAAATAGCAAGTAAGCTTTACTCTAATAAATTAAGTAATAATGTTAGTTAATAATAATGTTCATGTTAGTTCACAGTGCATTAACTAATGTTAACCAATACAATCATTGGTTTTAATGTTTTAGGAAATGTTTAACTAATTAACCTTATTGTAAGTGTTACCCAAAAACATTTAAGTACAACAACATATTTTTTAAAATATAAAATCTGAATAAAAATAAATATATTTGAGACCATACCCTGACTAACACATCCTCAACAAACAGTAATTCAATAAATAACAATTAATCACTTTAATCAATAACACTTCGGAGACCAAACTTGGTATATAAAATTGTAAAAAACAATGGAAAAGCAATGTCTCTGTCACACATGTACATTAGAACTGAATATGCCGACAGCATCTTAAAGGAACACTCCGACTTTTTGGGACTTTAGCCTATTCACCTTACCCCCCAGAGTTAGATAAGTCCACACATACCTTTTTCATCTCCGTGCGTGCTATAAGTCTGTTTGACGCACCCACCGCTAGCCTAGCTTAGCACAAAGACTGGATGTGAATGGTTGCAGCTTTCATACTAATCCAAATGAGTGACAAAATAACGCAAACGTTTTCCTATTTACATGTTGTGGTTTGTATAGTCACAGAGTGTGCAAATATCAAGGCCATATGAGACACAGACATCTTTTGACCGTATAAATACTATATTTTCTGAAGGGGAAGCACTGCTACTTGGGCAGAGTGATAACGATCACCTGAGACGCACCGTGACGAGGAGCAGAGTTCGCTTCGCTCAGCGTTGGAATAAAGAGTCAGCAATTACTAACGTTAGATAGAAAAGCATAGTTTATCATGGGTGTTTGCTTTATTGCATGAGCTGTGACAATAAACAGGGGAGACCAGGTAATACAGTACCATGTTTCATTGATTTCCAACCAAAAACGCACCCAGATTTATAAATATCACATGAATAAATAATTATTATTACAGGAATCAATATATTTTAAATGCAATTTATTAGCTGAACCAAATGTAGGCTATTTAGCCTATATAATATACAGTATTGCATTACTATAGGATAGAATAAGGGGAAAGTAATAGCACAAATTGTTTTTGCACAATGAACTCACAGCCTATCGTACCCTTTTGCACGCTCAAGTTCGTTATTTTCATGGTTATTTCAAATTTAGGCTACTGGCGCGCCGCGCGCAGGGTGCAAGTTCAACGCGGTGAACGCGCTCGTTTATTTTCCCCAAGCGCGTCCGCACCGCATCAAGATAAAAACATATTCATACCCTAATCATATAATAGTGTCACTAACGTTACATTAGATCTGGCTAAAGGCACTGTTACAGTAGGTCATCTAAAAACATAACGGATCACTTACCTCAGCTGCAGGTGATCCACTTGTCCTGTCTGTGCTATCGATGGGATGGCCGTATCCTTCAGCACATTATGGTCCGTGAGGCAAATTCCATTTTTTCAAAATAGTCGTCCTCATTGAAATGTACCGAGCAAACATACTGTAATGTCCCCTGATAATCTTAGGTGTGTTTGGATAAATATCCAGAGTAAGTTAGCCATTTCTTCATCCAGTCAGCATATTTAGTTGGAATTCTGTGAAACATGGTTACCTCCCCTGTTTACAGTCGCAGCAATATTTTTATATTTACAATAAAGCGAAAACCCATGACTCTAAACTACGCTTTTACTATTTATAAATTGCTGACTCTATTACCCAAACACCGAGCGAACTCTCCGCTCCTCACCACGGCTTGTCTCCGGTGATGCGGTTATTACGCCGTCAAAGTAGCAGTGCTTCGCCTTCAGAGAATAGTTCCCAGGTTTTATACGTTTAAAAGATGTCTGTGTCTCATTTGACTTTGTTATTTGTACATTATGTGACTATACAAATCACAACATGTAAATAGGAAAACGTTTGCGTTATTTTGCCACTCATTTGGATCAGTATGAAAGCTGCAACCAGTCACATCGAGTCTTTGTGCTAAGCTAGGCTAGCGGTGGGTGCGTCAAACAGACTTATAGCACGCACGGAGATGAAAAAGGTATGTATGGACTTATCTAACTCTGGGGGGTAAGGTGAATAGGCTAAAGTCCCAAAAAGTCGGAGTGTTCCTTTAAAGGGATAGTTCACCCGAAAAACTTCTGTCAGTAATTACTCGCCCTCATGCCGTTCCAAACCCCTAAGACATTCGTTCATCTTCGGAACACAAATAAAGATATTTTTGATGAAATCTGAGAGCTTTCGGTCCCTCCATTGACTACAACGTCATTGCAAATTAATAAAAATAATCCAACTAATGGGTTGATGTAGTGTAAACAGCCCAGTGCTTCTGGGTTCTACGGACATTCTTCAGACATTCATTCTTCAGAACGCTCTCTCACTATTGGCCAACGCTAGTCATGTGTGATGCTGGCCAATAATAAGCCTACGCTCTGACGTAGAACCCAGAATCACTGGGCTGTTTACACTACATCAACAGTGTAGGAGAATGACATTGAAGAGAAGAGATCATAATATTACTCATAAAGATCATAAAGAGACTCGCTTCATAATATTAAGGCTGAACTACTGTAGTCACATGGACTATTTTTACAATGTTTTTACTACCTTTCTGGGCCTTGAAACTTGCAATGATGTTGTGGTCATGACATTTTGCCATGATAGTGAGGTGCTAAAGGCTATGCCTGGGTTTATCTGTGGTTATGATCTAATAGCATGATACTGGGTGACCAATGGTTCAGCCTAGGCATCTAGCACTTTAAAGCCCAAGAAATGTAAGAAAGACAAAGTAATTTTTCAGAGATTGCCGTTTTGTTGGGAGTTTGTTTTGTCCCAAACCAAGCATCAATTTCTGAATGAAGTTAAAAGTGTTTATTTCTTTTGCGAAATCCAAATTTAAAGCATAAGACTGACCAAAATAGATGCAAATTGCCTGAGGCAGGTTCTGCAGATTATCCATTACAATACCTCTCTCAACAATGATGGCAGTAGACAGAGAGTTAGAGAGAGAGAAGTTCTTCATCAATGACAGTCCCCAACAGATACTTGTGCCCAGGCTTCATCAATATCACATACCTGAATGAAACCAAACAACAAAAAAATATTACAACAAGGAAAAGTGAAAAGGCATGAATAATCATCAGTAAGCTGCCCTGCATACACTGCCTTTAATCCATGTATTAGTTTATATCATTTATCTTTTTTTTTTCTTTTTATTAAGACTCTTAATGGGATAGTTTACCCAAAAATGAAATTAAGCCCATGATTTACTCTTCCTTAAGCAGGGCTGGGCGATAAAACGATAATTATCATAATATTTTTTCTTGATAAAACGATATCAAGAGTTCAATTAATGTTTGTGCGCCAAAAGCAGAACAAAACCCATTTGAACCGCGCGCCACACGCACCATTTATCCACTCAGCTCAAAGTCCAAATGGCAGCGCAAGTTCACTAGAGCAGAGGCGTTTACTCTGATCGTCTCGCTCACGAGATCCAGTGAGAAGCGCTTGAATTCAGTGGAGAACACACGTCTCAGTTATTTAAACCAATTTAAAGGCAGATGAAACAACACTGACAAACAGGAGAAACACTGTGCGCAGAATACAGGCGGAATCTGAGGGATACTCCACTTTTTTTGGAAATATGCTTATTTTACAACTCCCCCAGAGTTACATTCGAAAACGGTGAAACTCAACTGTTTAACTCTGGGTGAGTTGTAAAATGAGCCTATTTCAAAAAAAAAATTGGACTATCCCTTTAAGTGGAGAAGTGACTATTAAGATTACAGTTAAAGGGTTTATCAACAAAACCACACAACACTTAAGTAAACAGCTAGATAGATCGTAAGCAAAACCATGATCAACTCAGAATAATAATAAAAAAATGAAGGCGGCAGTAAACTCACCTCTGTATTAATTTGCTGCATAAGCCCATCCAATTTCTCTCCAATGCTTCTTGAAGACTTGAAGATTGTGACAAAGCGTGGTGTGTAGAGATCCACAGCACCATTAAAGTTACTCTGCTGTCTGCAGATCTGTGGTGACTATCCTTTCAAACTCTGCAAACACCTACAGGCACACGCACACACACACACACACACACACACACACACACACACACACACACACACACACACACACACACACAAGGCATGGGACAGTGTGGACATTGTTCAATGCATGGTCAGGCCTACAGGCCAATTCTAAAGCAAACCTAAACAGAATGTGGTTTCTCATTGTGGAAAACGGGATATGCATAAGTACTTAACTTACTTGTCTCTCTGTAAAAAGAGCTCCAATGCACTGCTCCATCTGCCCACAATCTCATGTCTTCACATTGAGAAGGTCTGCTCCATCTTTGATGCAATGAGAGGTTCCACTAAGATAACATCAGTAGGGATAACATCATATTGTTTTTCATATTGTTAAAAAATGGCTCATTTTATCAGCAATGATAAAGCAGTTGAGTTTGAGAAAATAAAATCACTTTTACATTGCATGCTTCACATTCTGAATTTACTTTATTTAAAAATCAAGTATAAAGTATAATTATAGAGTATAATGCCGTTGTGAAATCACAAATACTGTCAAAACTTATCACAAACGTCATCTGTGCATAAGCTGCACGTTAACGGTAACGTTATGTGCGCCATTTCACCAGATTTGTAACATTAACCTTAATAATTTACAAACCTATGCCAACAGAGGAGAATGCATCAGTGAAAGTGGTAAAATAGGAAACCATAATTCTTACATTTGGGACAAATAAATCGTTTTTTAGGCATTCAGGAGCTGTTAGGGTAACTTAGCTACCAGAAAAAAACAGGCCACACCAAGGCATATTCTTCAAGCTCCTAATATCACAATTAGTTGGTCCACATTAGTTGCAGACCAGTAAAATATATCGACATACAGTAAAAAAAAAATCATTCACACAAAAGTCGCAAGCTTGATTTGATTACTCACCTTATTATTAACTTACTCCAAAAACGTAGCGAGGCTCCAGATAAAAATGTAGTCACTCTGTCAACGAACGTTAGTTTCCACATCTGCAAAATTGGCGCCTATAGACCATTTCAAAAGATGTAAACAACACTGGTCCAGAAACACTTCCTGTTTCAGTTTGTAACTGTTTTCTTTATTTCACATGTAAAGAAAACATCTTAAAGATGTTTGTTTAACTTTTTGATTCAATTTTAAATGTTCTGTTGGTTGTATTTTATCCCAGCTTTTATGTAGTGTTAAAAAAACTGAAACAGGAAGTGCTTCTGGACCAGTGTTGTTTACATCTTTTGAATGCTCTCACGTCACGAGTGCCGCTTCTTCTTCTTTGTTTTTTTTTTCTTCTTCTGCGCATTAGGCACGCTTTAATGCAGTGCTGCCTCTCACTGGTTTAGTAACGTCATTGCGTCCTTTATTGTTGCTTGTAAAACCTAGTAAAAATGATGTATTTTTTTATTTCTGAGTAAAGTTAACACATACATCAAGGTTACACATACATCACTGAGAAATTGAATAAAATAATAAAATAAAGTATAAATAATATATATAAAATAAAGAGAGCAATTATTTTAAATTATTGTAATTTAAGCAACTGCCGTCTATAAGAACCTGATGAAAACAACTGCTGTCAACAATTAGTGATCAAAAGACCTTTGCTAACTTTTTCACTACTTCACTAATTTTTCCCCAATTAACTTAAAAATGAAAATTTCCTGATAATTTACTCACCCAAAATGCCATCCAAGATGTGTGTCTTTTCAGTGGAAATTTTCAGTGGATGTTAATTAGATTTGATTGGTAGATTTGATTCAACATTTTGGTTGCCATTCAAGTCCATTGTGTGTAGAAAAATCCTAAAATGTTTTCCTCAAAAAAGTTCATTTCCATTCCACTGAAGAAAGAAAGACATGAACATCTTGGATGGCAGTGGGGTGAGTAAATTATCAGGAAATTTTCATTTTGGGGGGAAAAATCTTTTAAAATGAAGTTACTGCTAGGTTGATGTACAAGATATTGACAGTTGTCAGCACTGAAAAAAAATGTTATGGTCCAAACTAAATAATGTTTAATTCACTGAATTGGCTTTATCACTCTCTCTCTCTCCTCTCCACTATAGTGTGTGGTGAGCACACTGGTGCTGTGGCTGCCGTCGCATCATCCCAGTAGATGATGAACACTGGTGGTGGTTGAGGAGAGATCCCCTGACATGATTGCAAAGCACTTTGGGTGGACAGTAGTTCATATGAAAGCGCTAAAAGCCTCATGCATTCATTCAATGTAAAGTTGGAAACAATTTAAAAAATATATATATATTTGTGTCTGAATGTGCTAACGTTGTTTTCTAAAAATAAGAAACCTTGTGCTCTTAAAATAAGAACATATGTCTTGAAATTGGAATTGGACACATTGGAGTGTGTCAAAATATACCATTCACTTTAAAAAGATACTTAATTAAATGAAAGAAATCACCAAAATTGGCATTTTTTTCTAAGTAAGAAAATTTAAGTAAAATTTTCTCAAAACAAGCAAAATAATCTTTGGCTTTTAGTTCTAGGCTAGTTAATTTATCTTAGAAGAAAAAAAAAGAAGAATTCTTGCCTTATTTTAAGATTTTTTTAACTCGGCAAGATTTCATTTTTTGCAGTGATTTGAGCTGGCTTATTTATTTGACAGAAGGCACAGTTCTCTATAGATACCTGGATCTCCTTGCTAATCCCAGGCCACCAAACACTTTGTTTTGCACGCTCTCTACACTTGACGATCCCCATGTGACCATCGTGAAGTTTCCTCTTGACCTCAGCTCTCATGACACTTGGAATAACGATCCTGTCACTGTAAATCAGGAGGTCATCACACACAGACAACATATCCTTCACAGCGAAGTAAGGTTTGACGTGCTCTGAAACTTGTGAAGGGTACTTTGGCCATCCTTGTCTTACGTACTTTATCACCACCTGCAACTCAGGATCAGTCTTTGTGCTTTCAATTACCTCGTTCAGTCGTGTACATGACATTGGCCAGGCAGCTCTAGTGGACTCTTCCAAAGCCGTAATGTCATTGATAAGCTCCACTGAATCCAGCTGTGGTGTCGAAGACGGATGTCTAGAAAGAGCATCAGCTACAACCAGTGATTTCCCTGGGACATATTCAGCTTTAGCATTGAACCTCATCAGTCGAATCAAGAGTCGCTGGCATCTCAAAGGAACCATGTCAATTTCCTTGTTGTTGATGAGCGGAATCAACGGTTTATGATCTGTGTGAATTACGAAACTGTCCAGACCATACAAGTACTTGGAAAATCTTTCACAAGCCCACACCACACCGAGACATTCTTTTTCAATCTGTGCATATTTTGTTTCAGTGTTGGTCAAAGTACGCGAACAGTAGGCTACGGGTCTCAAGCATCCATCATGCTGCTGGAAGAGGACTCCTCCTAGCCCATAGCTGCTAGCGTCTGCACTTACGATGGTTGGTTTGTTGACGTCAAAGAAAGAAAGGATTGGTGCTTCAGTCATGAGCTCTTTGATTCTTGTGAGCGCCTGCTCCTGTGCGTGACTCCAAGTCCAAACTGTATCAGCTTTAAGGAGATCATTAAGTGGGCAGGTTATTTCAGCCAATCCAGGTAGGTATCGACCTAAATAATGAACCATTCCCAAAATCCTCTTTACTTCTGTCACGTTCTGTGGAGGTTGAATATTCAGTATGGCCTCAACCTTTTTCTCGTCTGGCCTGACTCCACGAGCATCAATGATATGACCCAGAAATTGTATCTGCGTTTGCCTCAACAGACATTTGTCATCATTGAGTTTCAATCCTGCATCAGAAAGTGTCCTCAATACCCTCTTTAAACGACAATCATGAACCTCTGGCGTTTCCCCGTAAATGATTATGTCATCCATGTACGCTGCTGTACCTTCATGGTCTCTTGAGGTTATTCATCTCTCTTTGAAATATCTCCGGTGCACTGGAGATTCCGAAAGGAAGTCTGTGAAAGAAATACCTCCCAAATGGTGTTATAAATGTTGTGAATTTGGCACTCTCCCTCTCCAGAGGAATTTGCCAAAATCCACTCGCTGCATCTAATAGTGAAAACATTGATGCACCTGACAACTGGGGAAGTATATCATCAAGGGTTGGTAGGATATACCTTTCACGTTCAACTGCTTGATTTAAGCGATTTAGGCCTACACATATTCTCACCTGGCCATTCTTCCTAGGCACAGGCACCATCGGCGCACACCATTCGGTGGGTTCTGTAATTTCTTCAATCACGCCGCACTTCACCATCTTGTCTAGTTCAGCTTTCACTTTAGAAAGTAAGGGAACCGACACTCTCCTGGCTGTCGTAATGGCATATGGGACTGCATCTGTTTTCAGCTTGATTTTCACAGGAGTGGTTTTCAAAAGTCCAACCGACTCACCGGGTGAACTTACATCGTCAATCCGCTGAACTAACCCCAGAGCAGCAGAAACTTTTTCGACTCAGCAAATTATTAACAGACTGACCTGCAATGACAAAAACAGTAAAGCAGTACTTGTTTCCTTTGTGGTGTGTGCTTGTCTCAAATCTTCCTGTACTTCTCAATTTCCCTCCTGGACAATCCAGCGCTGCATTCACGAACATTAAGTTAGGCCTTGTGTTGAGAGCTTTGTAAGTTTGTTCCGATATTACACTAATATCTGCACCAGTGTCGATTTTAAACTTCACTTCTGTATCTTGAATCCTCAAGGTTATGGACCATGCGTCACTTGAGTCCTTTACTGTGATTGCTCCAAGGAAGAATGAATCTTCGTGCTCTTCCTGCACTACATTTACATCACTAACATGTAGAGTACGACACACAATAGCATAATGGCCTCTCTTGCCACACTTTCGACACTCTGCTCTTCTCGCAGGGCAATTGACGCTCTTTGGATGTTGTTTACCGCACCGCATGCATTTCCCCGCTATTGAGTCATTTGATCGTGCGTATCTTTATCCAGAACACCAATCACCAACCTGTCTCTTATATTTTCATTTTTAGCTTCTCCAAATGCACATGTTTCAGCTAGTTCATGTAAGTTACGAATGAATTCTTCCACACTTTCCCCTTGCTTTTGAACACGCTGATAAAATTTCGCCCGTTCATGTATCACGTTGACTTTAGGCACAAAGTAATTGTTCAACTTCTCCAGAACTATGTCGTACCTATTCTCGTCGCCATCCGCTGCATACACAAATGTACTGACGATGTGTTCTGCCTCCTTCCCGAGAGAATACAAAAGTGTACAAACTTGAACTTCCCCCGACTCTTTGTCCAGCTTCGTGGCTATTCGGAATCTGTGGAAACGCTGCTTACATTCAGGCCAGAGCTCGGGCTGACTGAAGTCAAAACTTTCGGGTGGAGAAAACTTTGCCATGTTGTCATGTTCACTTCTGACACCATGTAATGTTAGGATGTCATGTATAAATGAGGGAATGGAAGCGTTGCTCTCTTCTTAGTTCTTTATTAACAACAACTGCCACTTCTGGCACCATGAACTGCAATGTGTTGACCACATACCGTATATCTTCTATTAACTACGCTTGCCATAAACGGGTATACGTTGCTGTATTGATTACCGTATATAGCCTAACAGATCCTCATGCTATCACTACAAGGCCAAACACAAATATCACTGTGTGTCAAATGAAATGTTTTATTTACGATAATAGTGATTGTCGGACGAGATTGGATGCCTGACTTCCCTTGGCATCCGGTAGAAAACGCCACTGAGAACGGGTATGTGATAATATGTGAGAACAGTAACTAATGACAGTTGTCGCGCGCCTTAATTAATAATTAATCATTAGTTTATATCTTATACACTGCCCATTATTTTTTTCATCCCATATCAAACACCGTATATTTTGTCTACTCTATTTTACATTTTTTTCTCAATATTTATTATAGTCCACCACCACAGCCCCTCACCAGGGGGGGCTGATGCTATGACGAGGGGGGCTGCAGCCCCCGCAGCACCCCCCTTCCCGCGCCTATGTTTCATACTACAATAATCTCCCAGGTTAATATCTTGAAACAATTGTTCTCCTTTACTATTTCCTTTACTTTTACTACACATCATTCAAACATTCCTTGTCCCCTAT